ACTCCCAGAATTCCCCAGCCAGCGAATGCTGGCTGGGGAATTCTGGGAATTGAAGTCCGGACATCTTCAAGTTGCCAAGGTTGAGAAACACTGAGTTAAGCAGAGTCATCCACGGTGACTCTGGCAGCAACTAGCTCAGCCTGACCTCAGTTCTTGCCTTTTTCCTTTTACATTATTTTTTCTTTTCATGATGAGAGTGGTGAGGCTCTGCCTCCCCTGACTGCACATCCCTGGTTTAGACTGGATTTGGCGTATTTATATAATTTTCAAGTTCTTCCCAAGGACCCCGGAGAGGCAGATGTTGTTTGATGTTGTTGTTCTTTTTTAAAACTGGTCACAGGATGTTTTTATTATTATTTTTTATTACGTTATTACTTTTATGTTTATAATTAGGAAACAATAAAATACATATACTGATATTTACTAATATTTTTCCCCCAATTTGTATGGCTGCCCATTTCAGATAGCAACTCTGGGCAGCTAAGAACTGGTTAAAACAAAAACCAGTAAAAAGCAAGATGAAGACCAATATACAAATACATAAAAACGGTCCATAATCAGTTTAAAAACCAAAAGGAAAGTTTAAAATTTGCATTCAGTTATAACTTAAAAGAAAAGTTCTTTAAGATGATGTATCACTGGTATTTAATACCAGAGAAGATATCCAGAACAGCGTCACCAACTGGGGGTCCATGGACCACTGGTGGTCTCTAAGAAAAATTTGGTGGCAGAAAAATTATTTGCATTTTTTAATTGCACTAAATACTATTTATCTTTTTAAAAAATTCATACTAGTGAACCGCGGGTTTTAAAATTATGAATTTAGTGGTCCCTGGGGTCCGATACGGGTGAAATTCAGCAGGTTCTGACAGGTTCTAGAGAACTAGTACTGAACACTTTAAGTAGTTCGGAGAACTGGCAATTACCACCTCTGGCTGGTCCCAGAGTGGGGTGGGAATGGAGATTTTGCAATATCTTTCCCCCAGGAGTGGGGAGGGAATGGGGATTTTGCAGTGTCCTTCCCCTGGAGTGGGGAGGGAATGGGGATTTTGCAGTGTCCTTCCCCTGGAGTGGGGAGGGAATGGGGATTTTGCAGTGTCCTTCCCCTGGAGCGGGGAGGGAATGGGGATTTTACAGCATCCTTCCCCTGGAGTGGGGAGGGAATGGGGATTTTGCAGGATCCTTCCCCTGGAGTGGGGAGGGAATGGGGATTTTGTAGTGTCCTTCCCCTGGAGTGGGGAGGGAATGGGGATTTT